AGACAGACGCCACCCAGGCGCCCCATATTTTTTATTTCCTAACAGCACCTTAATATTAAAATGTATGGATGGGAGTGCCTGGGTGGCTTAGTCAGTTGAACATCCGACTTCGGCTCAGGTCATGATCTTACGGTTTGTGGGTTCGAGCCCTGCGTCAGGCTCTGTGCTGACAGTTTGCTCAGAGCCTGTAGCCTGCTTCAGATTCTGTGTCTCCTCTCTTTCTCTCTGCCCCTCCCCGGCTCATGCTCTGTCTCTCAAAAATAAATGTTAAAAAAAATTTTAATGTATGGATGAACCACACAATTAACTTGTCCATTCCCCAGTTGTCCCCAGTGATTTGCTCTAACAGGTAGTGCTGTGGTGAGCATGTGTGAGTACTTCAGTATAAATTCCCATGTGTGGAATTACTAGCCCCAAGATTAAATACAGTTGTCATTTTGATGGATATTGGCAATTTGGTCTGTATGAAGCCCGGGTCAGTTTACACTCCCACTGGCGACGTGTGATACCCATTTCATGAACAGTGTTCTACTGATGGACGGAGGTGATGGGTGCAAATTGTACCTCAATACTCAAGTTTGCTTTTCCCTTGTTTTGAGGTGGGCATCTTTAAGAGCTGTTGTATTTCCTTTCCTGGAAACAACTTTTCCTTTGCCCAGTTTTTATTGGATTATTGGTCTTTTCCATAACAATTTTTGGAGTGTTTTATGTATTAGGTCTGTTCTATGTTTTAATACCATTGTACCGTCCTGCAGAAACTCTGGGTTCTTAATATGTTTTTCACCTGAATAATGAGTGTCTGATGAGGTGAGCATGTTGTCTAATGAGGTGGAAACTAGTAACTGTGATCCGTTGCAGTTTCAGGTGTTGAGACTGGAAATAAGTACAGGAATTTAACTCTGAAGCAAGAAGTGTCTGAAGAAGCGGCACCGCAGGGGAATATGTGTAGCGGATTTGAAAGTGACATGTCCCAGTCGGCTAGGTGCAGAGAAGCGGACGGATCCGAAGCAGAAACAGAAGAGTCTTCTGGACACTCCAGGGAAGGTGAACAGTCTGCGGGTGATGAGAACAGACTCCGTCTGACTGAACAGCAGAGGGTCTGTCCAGGAGAAAAACCTCGTGAGTGCGAGGAGTGTGGAAAAGCCTTCAGTCAGCACTCGAACCTCTTAGAACATCAGAGGGTCCACACTGGAGACAGGCCCTACAAATGTGAGGAATGTGGGAAAACTTTCCGTGGGAGAACCGTGCTGATTCGGCACAAAATAATACACACCGGAGAGAAACCGTATAAATGTAATGAGTGTGGCAAAGCCTTTGGCCGCTGGTCAGCTCTTAACCAACATCAGAGGCTCCACACAGGAGAGAAACACTACCACTGTAACGAATGTGGCAAAGCCTTCAGCCAGAAAGCGGGCCTCTTTCACCATCTCAAGATCCACACGAGAGACAAACCATACCATTGTGCTCAGTGCAATAAAAGTTTTAGTCGGCGTTCAATACTCACTCAACACCAAGGAGTTCACACTGGGGCAAAGCCCTATGAGTGCAGCGAGTGCGGGAAAGCCTTCGTTTATAACTCCTCCCTGGTTTCCCACCAGGAGATCCACCACAAAGAAAAGTGCCATCAGTGTAAGGAGTGTGGGAAATCCTTCAGTCAGAGTGGCCTTGTTCAGCATCAGAGAATCCACACTGGGGAGAAACCTTACAAGTGTGACGTATGTGCAAAAGCATTTATTCACAGGACAAGCCTTGTAGAACATCAGCGAGTTCACACTGGAGAGAGACCTTACAAGTGTGATAAGTGTGAGAAGGCCTTCACTCAGAGATCAGTTCTCACGGAACACCAGAGAACCCACACCGGAGAGAGGCCGTACAAGTGTGACGACTGTGGGAACGCCTTCCGAGGCATCACCAGCCTCATTCAGCATCACAGGATCCACACTGGGGAGAAACCCTACCGATGTGACCAGTGCGGCAAAGCCTTCAGACAGAGGTCAGATCTTAGCAAACACCAGAGAATCCATAGTAGAGGTGCTCCCTCTAATGAGTGTGGGGAGTCGTTCAGGCAGCCCTCAGCTCATAGGCAGCAGCAGACTGTCCACGAAGGGGAGGAGTCTGTTTCTGGGATGACCACGGGGACGCTGTGTCCCAGAGTACAGGCTGAAGAGGAATACTAGCTTGGGAGTGATTCCAACGGCAGTCACCGTTGCTACAAGGACACCTCAGACGTCTTGTAAAGGGTTCGCCGTGTGCCGTGCGTGACATCAGCTGGCGTGTAGGACAAAGAGCGTGACACGAAAGTCCTCTTCTCGCCAGTTTGCGGTGGAGCCTGGGGTCCGTCAGGTCATGTGTGAGCTTAGATCGGACTGCAGGACGGCAGAAGTGATCTGAGCCGCGTGTCCGTGAGGTGGCGGGTGGCGGCCAGTGCTGTCCGTTCTGAAGGACGGATCACCAATGCCTGAGCGGGTCAGCCAAGATTGTATTGAAGATCGGGGTTCCGTGGGCAGATTTGGAAGGCGGGGTGGAAACCAGGGTAAAGCCCACGTAGGGGGAGGCGAGGATGCTCGGGGCTTGTGGCGCCAGTAGCAGCCTGAGGTGGGGCATCTGTTCAGGTGGGCGGTGGCGGAGATACCCTGGGAACGGCTTGGGCCGGGCTGGGAGGGTGCGGACGGTGCCTCTTACAAAAGGCACAAAGCACTTTTCTTAATTCCTAAGATCTGCCTGTAAATTAAAATCCTTCTCTGTTTTAAAAGTGAGGGTACGCCTGCTTCTGGAGAGGGTGACCTAGCTACAGTGTCACAGGGAGGGGCCGGCAGTAGGTCTCTGACTTGTCCTGTCCCTTGCTCTCGTGGTTCTCCCCTTCAGTGCATGTCAGAGTCCCCTGTGGAGTTTGGTTAAGATGCCTGCGACCCCCTCACATCCTGCTTCGTGAAGTCTGGGGCGGGGGCCGAGAATCCCCATTGTCCAAGCTCCACAGTCACCTGATTCTAAAATTCAAGGAACACTGCATTGAATCGCAGCTGCCTTCATGGTCGCCTGTGAGGTGGGGAAGCGTCAACACGGGCCACTAAACACAGGCCACTGCAGATTCTTAGCGTGGGGAAAGCTCTGAAGGACAGGAGTGAACAGGGAAATTAGACAGCCATCCAGCATCAGGGGCTTTGGGATGGCCTTTCCACCTCTTCCAACTTAAGTCTTAGGAAATCGGAGACTGACCTACATTGTGAGGCACCCAGGGGTCACCAGAGCACAAGGCTGTGTGTTAGTTAGGGGAGAGTGCTGGTGTTCTGGTTTGCTCCTAACCTCTGTTTTTTCCCAGCTTATGTTCTGAATTCCCTAATAGTTGCTCTTCAAAACTGGTTTACAATTTCTTGGTTTGTATACCTTCTTGAGCACATAAAAGAGCCAAAGATTAGTGACTCTATCCCTTGAGGCTTGTGCAAAAACATCAACCAAAAGCTAGTTGACCGGACTCCCGTATCACTGAGTAAGCAGTTCTGTTGTAGATGAGGGCCTGTGACTCAGTCGTGGACAACAGGCACGCACACGTGGCTCCTGCTCAGTTTATCTTTTCTTCTTTTTCTTTTAATGTTTGTTTATTTGGAGAGGGAGTGAGAGAGAGGACTCTGCACTGATAGTGCAGAGCCCAAGGAGGGGCTTGAATCCACAGCCCTGGGATCATGACCTGAGCTGAAATCCAGAGTCAGATGCTTAACTGACTGAGTCACCCAGGCACCCGGTTTATCTTTTTATTTACAGAGATTATTTTTAATCTTCATTGACATGTCCTCTGATATCCTTCCCTTTGTACCTCACCAGGCACAGCAACAGGCCCTACAACCTCTGGGACTGCCCCCACCCCCCCTCCCCCAGATCATCCCACACAACTCCAGGATCCTCTTCTCCCCACACCTCTAGCTCCTTAGTGGGCCTGAAGTGGTGAGACACACAAGGGACAGGGGAGAAACGAGGGTAGTTAGCGTCTTTACTCCTAACTGCCGTTCTGTCCAGCTGCCATGTCTATCCTGTTTCCTCCCCACTACTGTATGTACTCTGCCCCCCTTTCCCGACGGCCCCCATCTCTTGCCCCTGTGTCCATCACCCTATCCCGAACATAGTATCATCACTGGTTGGAACCAGAAGTCCCTGGAGAAATTGATACGTTCTAGCTTCTAAGCTTTAAGTGTGAGCACATTTTCATAATATAATAATAATAATAGTACTATAATTTAGGTACATTGTGTGTCAGATTTGCTTTTGGGATTGCAATTTCTGTGACTAAGGGAAAACATCCTGAGTTCACGATAGAGGAAAGCAAATGAACATTTGAAAAACAGCTCACTCTCAAGTTGAGGACCCTTGAGGTGTTATATCCTAAGACCAACATTGGAGCTGCACACAGAAGGCGTCGAGGCAGCTGGGGTTGGGTACCTCCTTTTTTGCCTCCAGAAAACTGAGTTTGTTTCCCTGAGTGAGGCTGGGGGCTCTCAGCCGGGTGTGTTCTGTTCTCTTCCCAGCTTCCCCTGCCATGCGTCTCTCACTCTTGCAAGCTCTTTGATGGAGGGGACGTCGCTTAGAGATGAGAACCCAAATGAGAATGTCCTTCATATGCTGTCCATGCTTGTCACCTTGCCTGATTTCAGACATGTTATCCGGACTGAAGTTACTCTTCATAGTAACCTCAAACCTCTAACTTACTGCTCACTGGAACACGACTCTTAATTTAAACTTGCTTTTGGCTCTCAGTGCTGTTATCTGTGGGTTCCGCCCTTCATCTGCTGTTAAACATATCCGCTCAGGGCAGACATGTTCCTCCATTTGCCTCTAACACCTTTATTTGCTTAATATGAATGAACCCTAGACAAAGATCCAGAATAGTGGGATATGCCTATCATATAGGATACAGTTCATAACTTGGTTAAAAATAAAGGGGGAGGTTTTGTTCTGGTTGTTTCTTATGCTTGGTAGTTGCACTACCAAGAAAAGGTGAGTGACCTGGCGTTTCCAGGTAGACATCAAAGGGGCTCAAACTATCCAGGATAAGGAAATAGAGTAGAATAATTGGAGCTAAATGGGCAACACAGGAGTAGAAGACCCTGAGGGGCAAGTGGAGGATGTGACCGAGGTTAGACATGGAATTGGGGAGTGCGGTGCACAGAGAATGCCTCACAGTGAAGTCCACAGTACGTCGTTCTGAATAAAAGGTAGATGTATGAAAAAAATTTTTAAAAAATAAAAAAAGGGGCGCCTGGGTGGCGCAGTCGGTTAAGCGTCCGACTTCAGCCAGGTCACGCTCTCGCGGTCTGTGGGTTCGAGCCCTGCGTCGGGCTCTGGGCTGATGGCTCAGAGCCTGGAGCCTGTTTCCGATTCTGTGTCTCCCTCTCTCTCTGCCCCTCCCCCGTTCATGCTCTGTCTCTCTCTGTCCCAAAAATAAAATAAACGTTGAAAAAAAAAAAAAAGGTAGATGTAGAACGGTGACAGGCTCTAGGCTCGTTTGAATAGCTTATCTTCGCAGATTTTGAAACCATCAACAACAGGTGGCAGGATGGAAAGGAAAAAGAACACTGAAGCAAGTCCAAGGTAGAAATGTCAGTCCAGAGTAGTGACATAACAGCCAGCTTGGGCAATTGGTGCAACACTCAAATGATGAATCGCGAAGCGGTGGCTTGGGAATAACATTAAGGATAAGAGTGAGATTGACTGGCTTCTCTTTTCTGGTTGATTCAAGGTAAACAAGATACTCAGTGTTTAAGACAAAAAGCTCCTGTAGGGTTTTGGGGAGAATCAAATTGCTAAAGCAGTGAAAAGTGAAGGAGGCTCAGGATGAAAAGTAACGTGACAAACAGGAGCTCCAGGGGGTGTAATAGGGGTTGCAAACGGAAGAAAGATGGGCCTCCTCCAAAAGAAACCTCAGTTGTAGGAACAGGCTCCTGGAATTTTAGGTATGAGATAAAGCTAAAGCAGAAAAAGTGGGACTGAGCAGGGCTCCAAATTGAGAAATGTCTGCTGTGTGTTGAGGGCAGAGGTGGAGAGCACGAAGGTACCAGAACGTGGAGCAGCTCCACTCCCGTACCCTGAATGGAAGTAGCCTCTTGTTACATCCCATAGATGATCTGTTCCAGAACTCTTACAGTCAGAGTCCTTATTGGCCATCTTTTGGAGTCAAGAAAAGGATTTGTTAGTAACATGTAACATTAACAGCTTATTAAGGGCCAGGCATTACTAAAGTGCTTTACACGGTTTTATTTTTAGCTGTGAATTGGAGGAGTTGAAGCTGCCTCAGGTCACAAAGTTGGAATGTGGTGGGGCCAAGATTTGAAGGCCAGTGGCCCAGTTCCAGAGCCCATCCTTCCTTGTCTAGTTCAGTTGAAGGAACCCTGTTTTGCAGTCATAATCAAGTAATTATCTGGAAAATCTGTCACTATTCTGGAAGATACTTCAGAAACCCCAGAGTCCTGGGTCCAAACACCCAAGGCTAATAATACCACCACCACCCTCTCTGCATACCAACTCTTGGATGAGGTTTGGTCAGCATAACATGGGCCCTAATTCTTGTTGCCTCACAAGGAGGGTGCCCACAGGAGACATTTCCGCTAAAAATGGGCTCTTTAGAGAAAGGGATCCCCCTCCTGGCTGAAATTCACTCTGACAGAATAGGAGATTTTTGGCAGTCTCCATTGGTGCACATCATAAAGCTATCCCGTTTTGGATCTACCCAGTAGCCCAAATGGATCTCTTCTATGTAGCTAATACCACTTCTAAGATGAAAGAAGCCATCATTATTATATAAAGTAGTTCTTTCAGGTGCCTGTCCTGTCCCCACAGCCCAGACTTTGAGCAGCAAGTGCTTGTTCAACTTGGTGATAATCATGTGATAACCTTTATTTTCAACGTCCATCCTTTCGCACTGAAAAGTTCTGTCACAGCTGCTCTAGCAGTTCCTTTTATTGGCATTTCTGTAGATCCTGCCATTCCAAATACTGGGTATAATTGGTAAGGAGTCCTTGCACATTTTTTACACACGTATTTCT